TTGGGGCTTAGTGGCTACACACTGGGGCTTAAAACCCACCATAGTGGAAATTTTATAGTATAAAAATAAGTAAGTGCTGTAAATTATGACCAATTGTACCAGCCCACTATCTATTGTCTATAGCTATGGGCACCTCTCACTTTCCATTGTTACTATTGTATCTCATGTATGTATTTATGTACGCATGTATGTATTTTTGAGACAAGATCTCACTATGTAGCAATGACTATCCTAGAATTCTCTTTGTAGACCAGGCTGGCCTTGAACTCAAAGAGATTTACTTGCCTCTGTCTCTGAAGTGCTGGAATTCTTGTTTTATTTTCCCTTTTCATTGACATTTTGAGGAACCATTTTTTATTTTAATTATGACTATAATTATCTGTAGTGATTTCATTAATGTCACCTCTCTAAAAGTGATTTTCGATCTTCATTTACTTTTATTTCCATTTCTAATTTTTTTGAGTTAAATTGTTAATTTATTTATCATATTATAATCCCTTGAATCAAAATATAGATCCAATAGATCTTTGGTGTTAAGACTGAACCCTTGGGGCTAGAGTGATGGCTCGGTGTTTAAGAGCACCAGCTACTTTTCTGGATCTGGTTCAGTTCCCAGCACCTACATGGCAGCCAACAACCACGTAACTCCAGTTCCAGAGGATCCGATGCCTTCTTCTGACTTCTTCAGGCCCCAAACAGACATGGTACACAAATACAGGCGCAGGTAAAACATCCAAAAACATAAAATTTAAAATAAGACTGTGCTCTTTTTTTATTTTCCATAGAATTACCAATTTCAATTTCGATGTTTTTAGAGTTATTTAAGAGCCTATTTCTTCATTTACAAGTAGTTAAGGATTTGAAGATTTATCTTTCTGTGCTTTTTTTTTTAATTCCTCTTTTGCAGAATAAAAGCATAGACAACAGGCTATAAATTCCTTATTTGTCTATGTGCATATGTATGTGTGTGGGGCTGGAGATCAGAGGGGGACACAGGTGTCCTGCTCTTTCTCTCTTTGCTCTATCCCTTTAAGTCAAAGTCGCATTGTGAATCTGGAGCTTGCCATTGCTCAGCTAGACTGGCTGGCCACTGGGCTCTGGGGAACCAACTGTCTCTGCCCCGCCTTCCCATGCTGGGGCTACAGCTGTACATTGCCCAACCTAGCTTGTATATGGGTGCTGGGGCTCCAAACTCAGGTCTGCATACTTATGCACCAGGTGCTCTTATCTCTTGAGCCATCTCCGCAATCCTCTTAATAATTTTTTACTCGATTATTTTATACTGAAGGCCTGTTTTTCCCCTTATCATTTCTCTTTATCCTTTTTCTACTCTTTTGTAGGATGGGGATGGAACTCTGAGCCTCTTGAATCCTAGACAAATATTCTCTCACTAGTTTACAGCCCCAGGCTTTTTCCTGTTTTTAAGATATTTATTTCCTATATGAGTAACTTTTAATTTAGAATAATTGAATTGTGTTGTCAACAATCTCAGATTATTGAGGCAATTCATACTCTCATACCAAAAATATACCAGCAAGCAGGTGGTGCTTTCTTTCATGTTTTTCTGTACCAGGCAATTGCAGAATGAGATCAAGTTCAGTCATTCATACCAAAAGAGCCCTTTTGATCAACTCTCTAGTAGAATAATAGATATCGGATACCAACTAAAGTTGAAAATAGGATAGCACTACTACTCGGTTGAGGATATATACTGACAAATATGTGTTATCCCATAGGACTAGCATCCTATTATAAATAAGACAGGTGAGTTTTCCAGACTTGAGCTGCTTCAATAGAGAAAGAAATCAGCGAAATAAGAAATAGTTTGGATTGAACAGTTGAATGTCCTCATGTTAGACTGTCTTCCCTAATTCTTGTAACCCCTGCATTCTCTAAGTATTGCCCTTTCTGTTCTACCCTGAGACGTTCTAGTCTTTTGTCCGATGTTAACTTCACAACTTGTTTTCAATGACCTGAAATTCACAATGCTGTGTGAATGAATGAAATGTCATTTTATGAGGGCCTGCATTTTTATTAAGGACAGGATAAGTGCTACCACCATGACTCTCTCTCCTGCAGCAGACTCCGGTATTTCTAGCCTGTGCAGTTACAACTGTCTTTTGTCTGGCTGGGTAGCCCAGGTTAGCTTCTAATTAAAAATCATCCTGCTTTAGCCAACTGAATGCTAGGATTACCAGTGTACGCCGCCATGCCCCAGTTTCAGTTAGTATTTCAAGACAGAGATTCACGCAGCCCAGGCTGTTCTGGAGCTCACTTTTAGCCAAGGCTAGCCTGAACTCCTGATCCTTCTGCCATTGCCTCCCAAGTGCTGGGATGATGGGCACAATCCACCATGCCTAGCTCATTATTTAAAAAAAAAAAGAATAATGGAAAGAGTGCGTACTAAAAATGAGGCCTTCTATTTTTTCACTATAAAACATGGCGATTATTCAAATATGTGTGGCCTTTGAAAAACCAATATCAAATTCTTCTTCACAAAATACCAGATTCAACTAAATCAACTTCAAATGTACTTCTTTATATAACTAGTGACGTTAAAACATGGAACAGGCATTAGATTCTGGTATTAAGAAATCGTGTCAATAATTATGCAGTAAAACATCTTTTTGAAATGTAAACGAAAGTCGCGGGGGTTGAAATAGTTTCCTGCTTTGAAATAGTGCAGCAGAGAGGGAACAGAACAGACTGAACAAGAGAAATGCTGATGGCTTCTGAAGCTAAAGAATGTACACACTGGGGTTCCATCGTGCTGCCTCGCTTTAAATACGCTTAGATAATTTCACACCGAAACTATTTAAGATGGCAATAATATTTTCACTGCAACAAGTTAAAAACTGTCAAAATATGTAAGGAAAACATTTTAAAGCTTTCCTTACTTTCTTGTCAATCAAACACCACAGAGCTTACTTTTTGGTTTTTTTTTTAATCCAAGTCCTATATCACCACCACCTTTATCACTGCTCCTACTAGCCCAGTTTTCTCCTATGCCCATTGTACCTTCCTTTTTGCACATTGTCTGACACTCTGCATTGAGGAGAATTTCACAATAGAGAAATAGCAAGGTACAGGATAAAACCACACTGTCTTAAACTGGCCCATGAGAAACTAGATAGGATTAGCTCCATCCTTTGCTGCAAAGTCGATTTGGAATCCAGCTCTGTGGCCATGAGATCTGAACTTGGTGAGAAATCACAGACATGAAGTATCATCATTTATTCAAGTCAGAGTATGTGCATAAGTCAGCTCTCTACCCAAATAAGAGCAACCCAGTCTTTCTGGTTCCAGCTTTAGAAGTGGAAGGAGACTGATTTATCTGGTTTTATAGCATGGAAGTAATGTCTGTATAATAGCAAACTTGTAAATTATTTAAAAACCACTTGCTCATGTTCAAGCACGTGAGTGTGTATGTGCACGCACCCCCAACATGTGTATACACCAGATATGGGCTCCCAGTGTATGGCAAATGACTCCCCAAAGATGATGGTCATCTGGGAGATAGTTCACTGGATAAAGTGTTTGCTGTACAAACGTGAAGGGTCGAGTTTAGAACCCCGAAATCACATAAAAGGGGAGAAGTCATGGTAGTCAACTTTAATCACAGCTCTCAGGAGGCAAAGACAGAGGATCCTTGGGACAAGCTAGCGAGCTAGAGTCACCAGAACTGGCAAACTCTTGTCTCAGTAGAAAGAAAAAGCATGGAGAGCAACTGAGAAAGGCACCCAGTATGAACTTCAGAACTTCACACGCGCACACTCACACACACACATACACAAACACACACTCCCTCATGTATGTCCCTACACATACAAGAATGCATACACACATATGAACATGGACAAACATGTGTCATACACATTTTTGAAAGATCATGAGAGCAACCATTTTAAGTGATAAACCAAAGCTGAAATGTGAGCCACCCTGTACTACAGTAAGACAAGTAGGATTTTGAATCAAAGCCTCAATTTCGGCTTTGGGCAAAAGAAGTGTTGTCTGTTTTCAACCCAGCAGAGCAAGTTGGAGTGGGAGAGAAACGGAGAAAGAAATCCATATTTATTTAACTCCTACTGTGTACTAGGTACTGTGAGATCCCTATCTCTATTAGTTCACTTGCTTTTCACAAGTGCCTCTGAGATAGTTAGTGTTAGTTCTGTTTTCCAGGTCAGAAACAGAAGCCCAGAGATAAGCGACTTATTCAAGGTCACCGGTCTTGTAAGCTTCAGAACCAGGATCCAGAGAAGCCCACTTGACTTTAAATACAGAACTCATTCCACTTGACTCTGCTGCCTCCTGGGCTAAAAAAAAAAAAAAAAAAAAAAAAAAAGTGTTAACAAAACAGAGAAAAATCACACGAAAAACCCTCAAAAGGAAGAGGGGCAGTTTTCCCAAATAATAGTTTTAGCTACAAAGAACATGATGAAAGGGCAGGGCGACTTTGACGGCTCCAGTGATACATGAGTGAGCTGGAGATGTAGCTCCGCTGCTAGAATTGCCTGCCTAGTGCACATGAATTCTTGAGTTTAATGTCTAGCACTGAATAAGATCCTAGTACTTGGGAGGTGGAGACAAGAAGATCAGAAGAAGTTTAGGATAATCCTTAGTTATACAATGAATTTGAGCTCCCACTGAACTACATGGTGCCTTGTCTCAAAAAAGAAAGAAAGAAAGAAAGAAAGAAAGGAAGGAAGGAAGAAAGAAAGGAAGAGAAGAAAGAGAGAGAGAGAAAGAAAACAGAAAGAAAGAAAGAAAGAAAGGGAAGAAAGAGAGAAAAAGAAAACAGAAAGAAAGAAAGGGAACATACATAGCATAAATATCTGCTTCAGAGTTAGGCAGCCCAGCTTGTGCTGGAACCAACACTTGCTAGCTCACGTGATTTTGCTTGTTCACCTTACCCCTCTGGATCTTGGTTTTATCATCCATAAAATGCAGACATTAGTATCTGCTCCATATACCTCATGAGTATTGGGAAGATAAATACAGACATGAAACATCTCCATGATGACTCTCCAGCACCGTTCTTCTCCCCACGCTGCCACTACGGAGATACAGATGTTAAGGATGTCACTAAGGCAAAGTTGTGTAAGAAAGCAGCTCTATAAAGGTAGGCTTTTGTTTAGCAACTATTGGAGTTGGGAACACAGGTTGACTTTCCTTGCCCTGCTGATGGTTGAGAGAGGTATGTAATATGGGCATTATACACGCAGATTCATATATATGGACAAAACAAGGCAACACCCCTTGGGGTCCCTGGGTAAGCCTATGTTACCCTGTGACTCCATTAACACTTTTGTGGTACCAGAGTTGCTGTGATTTTGATAATCAATCCTCCTTCCTACCCCAATGCCAGGCAAGCTAATAAGTGGATTCTCTGCTATGCTACATATAATGGAGATCGAATGGGGGAAGGTATACATTCACTGATGTGTTCAAGTATTTTAATGAGCCTCCTGTATATAGAGATGTACTCTGCTTGAAGCTCAGAGCACAGAACAGATGGAATCCCCTCCCTCCAGGAGCACTACAGAGGAGACTAAAGCTGAATGCAATTACAGTGTTATATTTTTTTTTTGTAAGTAAGAGAATACATTAGTTACCTTTCCTTCTTTGACACCTATTTCTTCTAGACTCCAGCTAATATCTTTTGGCTTTAGAGCCTGGGGATTATGTTAATTATGGGGTAGCCCAGAGCAGAAAAACAAGTTTGGGCCAGCCAAATTCCTTTCTAGCTAACCATATGAAATGTAATTGGTGTTCTGTCAGAAATAAGTCATTGACCTTCCTCCTGGCATAGCCCTTTTGCTCTGAATGATGACAGTAAGTAGGTAATGGTGTGGTTCCTAGTAGGGAGACAGTCAGTCCCTCTTGGCATTGACCTTTTGTTCTGAATGGTGATAGGAAGTATGCTAGTGTGGCATCAGGGAGAGAGTCTGTCTTACTTTTAGAGGCAGAGCTAACCCTGTCCTATAGTTTGGAGGTCACTGATTTGAGAATGGGATCGAGAGGTGTAGATATAGAAGGAAGAGTAAGAGAAGGGACCTGGGGAATCTCAGGGAAAAACAAATCATGATGGCCCAGTATGTTCCAGGAAACAAAACAGATTGTATCTTTAAACTGAATAAGAGTAATTCAGAGGATGAAACAGTACTCGCCTGTTTCCGCAGATGCTGTATATTCTATAGCAGTAGAAGCCACAGCTGTCATCATCATTGATGCAGTGGGAAAACAAGACAAAGCAAGAGAAAACACAGTAGAAAATATATAAGATGTTTTAGTCACATCATTTAATAAGCGTATACGAACCCTCTGAGACTAGGTATAAGTATTGTCCCATATAGAGGAGAGGAAACTGAGGCCACTTCTTGTTAAGGAGACTTTCCTAGCAATATGTTTTTAAAAATCCATTTCCAATTTTAATTGAATTTTGTTTTTTAGTTTGTCACCCCCATGAGTTACAGGGAACCCTTCTTTACATTGCCCTTAGACATTTGCTCTTAAAACATGTTCTGGACCATGTGCACATATGTATGCATGTATATACGGACAGACATCGATATATTAATCTAGATCTGATTCTCTCTTTTTCTTAACCCTTCACCATCAAGTGCACTAGTGTTTCCTGCCATATGAAGCAGTTAAGACCTTTGCAAATCTATCCTCAAGGTATATTTGTCTTTTGTCACAGACTTGGAGACTATTCTGAGACTTCCTGTCTCCGTGATGTGCTCAAACATGACTCCTCAGGCTCTTGTCCTCAGGGCTCTGTTCTGGTATTTCTCTATCTTCTCTCTTTACTCCTGACCTGACTGACTCATGGAGCTTGGAGGAATGTGCTCTCTGCTTTAGCTAATGTCATTTTTCTGCTTGGTTTTTTCCCCCTACTGATCATCTGCCTGTTCTGAACCTGAAACAAGGACTTTGGTTTTTGTCAGCTGAAATCCACTAGTTCTCAAAGAATCACTTCTAAGCCCTATCATGATAGGGATGTTGTTTCCCTAATTTATGTTTCTAGTTTGTTCTTTTAGCATCTGCACTTTGTGTTTTGCCCACCAATTTCACACGTACTTAAGCATATATTTACCTTTGGCCAGGCACTTGAAGGGCATAGAACTTGTCCCCACAGGAGGTAAACTGTTTTTCTTTTCTTCTGCCTGACATTTTGTCCCATAAGGCTCTGCTCAAGTGTGTTTCTCCCCGCAGGAAGCCATTCCCCACGCCCGGTGCATCTTCCTAGTTTAGGTGCTTTTCTTCTCTGTGCCTAGCGGCACCCTAAGCATACTTCACCTCAGCTCTTCCGTGGACTCATTTTTCTTCCCTCCAGACAAAACTCTAAGAGTAAGCTAGCCTGTATTGCTTTAAAACCTTCCTAATTCCTTCTCTCATACAATACATCCTGACCGTAGCCTCCCCTCCCTCCACTTTTCCCAGCTCCCTTCACCTCCCCTTTCCCCCAGCCCCACTTCCTCGCCCCATCTCCCCTCAGAAAAGAGCAAGCCTCCCAGTGACTGAACATAACACAAGGAGATACCACACCAGGCACAAACCCTTACATGAGGGCCAGGTTAGACAGCCCAGCAGGAGGAAGAGAGCAGGCAATAACAGAGTCAGAGATAGCCCCTACTCTCACTGTTAGGAGTCCCACAAAACCCCCAAGCTAACACCCATAACATATACACAGAGGACCTAGCATAGACCCACGAAGACTCCGAGATTGCCGCTTCACACACACAGACCCTGCGAGCCGTGCTTAGTTGATTACTTGTGACCTTGGTCCCTTGTCCTTCTAGACCCCTCTGGCTCCCACAATTTCTCCTTCCCATCTTCGGCGGAGTCGGAGAGGGACCCGATGGAGATCTCCAATCTGGGCTCTCTCTTTGCCTATTGTTTGGCCGTGGGTCTCTGCATCTGCTCCCATCAGGTACTGGTTATGTGGAGAAATGATAAGTAAATAGTTCCCCCTGGTGGATAGCTCGTAGAAGTACAACTTTTAATGCCCCAGCAGGATTAGCCAATACCCAGGTAATTTCTTTCTTTCAACATAAAAAAAGGAAATATTTAAAAATATATGGTCTCCTAGGACCTATGTAGTTATTCAGACATTTCTCCAATTTTTCATATTTTGGTAAACTATTGTTTGGGATGACAAGACAGATGAAAGAAAACAAATTTGAGCAATTGTGTAAAAAGAAATGGAAGAGCTATTTGTCTCATAATGAAGAAATAGAATGCAGCACAGTTCTCCCTTGGTATCCATGGAGGATTGGCTCAGATACCAAACTTTGCAGATGCTCAAGTCCTTGGCATAGCATGGTTTAGTATTTTCATACAATCTAAATATAGCCTTCCTTATACTTTAAATATTTGTAGATTACTTAGAATAGCACAGTGTGGATGCTATATAAATAGTTGTTGTACTATATTGCTTGGGAATAAGATCAAATATCTGTACATACTCAATCCAGAATCAGATTTGTTCAGATGTTTTCCCTTTTTCAGTCCATTCTTTTATTTTATTTAAATAACTTTTTTTCATTTATTTTACATACCGAGCACAGTTTACCCTCCCTCCTCTCCTTCTGGTCCCCTCTTCCCATCTACCGCCCTCCGTTCTACTCCTCCTTCGTATTCATTCAGAAAGGGCCAGGCCCCCCATGGGCTTGAACAAAGCATGGCTCCAATATTATAAATATGAGGTTGATTAAATCCACAGGCACGGAACTTATGGATGTGGAAAGCTAGCTGTACAGACTTTTCCATTATACCTTGATTTTAGGGCAAGCACACCCATATTCATTGATTCCTTTTTAACAGATTCAGAGATCTGCCTGCCTCTGCCTCTGCCTCTGCCTCCTGAGTGCTGGGACTAAAGGCGTGTGTCACCACCGCCCAGCCTTTCAACTGGTATTTATAGCTCACCTACAATATGTTAAGCACATGTTGTGGGTACAGTAGTGATTGAAGCAATGCCCTCATCTTTAGGAGCTTCCGTTCATATTGGAGGGGGACAGAAGATTAAAAACCCAATATTCTTATTAAGTGGGGGGAGACAGAGATATAAAAAGAGACTGAGACTATATTGGACCCAACTATTTTATCAGATATATGTAATTGTTAGAATTTCAGAAAACTACAGAAATGTTGTCTCCACAGACCTGCCAAAATCCTTATGGGGACTTTAGAGAGTTTTCTTCCTTGGTTTGCATTTTTATTTGTGGGGGGAGCATGTTTATTTAGTCATCTATATTCTTATAATCACCGCCATAATTAGGACAGTATTGTTTCATCATCTCCACTTCAAACTCACTGTGCTGCCTCTTTTTAAAAAGTAGATGTGTTTATTTATTTATGTGTTTGTTGTTTTGTCTGCATGAATGTCTGTGCACTATCTGCAGGTCTGATGCTCACAGAGGTCCAAAGAGAGTGTTGGAATCCCTGGATCTGACATTACAAATGGTTAAGAATCAGCGGGTGTGGGTGCTCGGAACCAAACTCAGCTCTTTTGCGAGAGCAGCCAATGAATACTCTTAACCATGGAGTCATTTTGTCAACACCATGTGCTACCAATTTGTACTGTAGTCACATCTCCCTTCCTTACAATCACTGGTCTGTTCATCATTATAATTTTCTAATTTCTGTAATGTTTTATAAATGGAATCATACAGTATTCAAACTATTATGATTTTCTGTGTCACTCATCATAATGTTTCTGTGATCCATTCAACTTGTATCAATAGCTTTTTTCTATGATTTGATATATTGGGAGGATATTCAGTTGTGTGACTATTCCACTGTTTGCTTATCCTTGCTCTTAGTGAGGAATATTTCAGTTGTTTCCAGTTTGGGTCTACTATAATAGTTCATGCAAGTTATGTGTGCACACTTCCATAAATGTTCCTATTTGTAGAGTAAATGCATAGACGTATGAGCTAGAGACTTTGGTGTCTCCTAACTGGTTTATGGCCAATTGGCTGTGTAGTAGACAGGTAGTAGAGGGGAAGGAACACCAACCAGGTAAGGAGTTCAAAGACCTAGCTCTAGGCCGGCTCTGTCATTTTTTACTAATACAATTTTGGATGATTCCATCCTCTTTCCAGGACTCATACTCTAGTAAGCAACGAAGTCGAAATCTGTGGGTTTTTGCTAACCCATTTCATAGCTAATCTGCCCATGGTTCTGAAGATATTCCTTTTTAAAAGTAGGTCTCTCCATCATTTCACATAGAAATTTTAACTGTGTACATAAAAATGCTAGATGCCAAACCTAAATTGTACCTTTCCTGCTTTTTTCTTTCATGTCCTAAGCAATTGCCTGGTATAAAAATGCTATATTGAGGGAGACACTAGACAACCTGAAGGCAACAAAGGTTTGATGGTCTGATCCCTGCAGGGAAAAGCTCTCCAAAACCAGCGCAGAGTTGCCATGTGCAATTATGTTAGAAAGGCCGTTCTTAAGACAGATATGTGGAGCAAATTGTCCCATCCCTATACTGTCAAGATTTTTGCTAGCTAGAGAAGGGTAAAATAAGCATGGGACACATACGTAAAAATACGCATGTGTACACCATTCGCGTCTCTACATATGTTACATTATGTGTTTGTTGTATTTTCTCACAAAACTAAGAAAACACATACACAAAGCATTCCAAGAGAATAATTTTAGAGAATGTGGTTGTCTTGAGAGGAATTACTAGGAGGAAGAGAAGCCTGTTTTCTCTGCCTCTGTCTCCTGCCTGCCTGCTTGTCTGTCTGTCTCTCTCCCTCCCTCCCTTCCACCCCCCCACATATGGTGATTAAAATCATAGACAGGAACAGACTGCCTAGTTTAAAATCCTGGTTTTGACTCTAGCTATATGACCTTGTGCAAGTTGTACAGCCTCTGTGTTTCCTAATTTCTTCTTCAGAAAGAGTAATGACTGCTCATGCCTTCTGCAGAGGGCCAGCGGGAGAAGTAAAGAACCTAAAAATACAGGAAGCAGTTAGAGAGTGCTAAGCAGCAGAAAGTGTTAAGGACTGTGCACCTAACCCACAAGCCGACAGGAAATTTGTCTCTTACTCAATATCTGACTGGTGCCCAACTCATTAGCATTCTTACACCACTAGACATGGTGTAGCTTCCTTTGCCAACTTGTCTGGCTCCAGCAGCCATGCCCCGTCCACGTCCTAATCTCCCATGCCCCCACCTTACCAGAGAAAACAGCTTAGGAGCTGAGACTGTTAATTGCTTAACTCTGCCCAAGTAACTTTTGGCTTCCCTTCCTAGGTGGTAGTTACCCAAGTACGGGGAGATAAAAAAGCATATTAATAGTTGCATATATTCCTTAGTTCTTGAGGTGGCCACCCTCCTCCAAATCTAAAGGAACAAAGCAGACATATTGGAGAAAGTCCTGCTTCCTTTAGTTATTTTTATTTAAAGCTTCAGTCATGTCTTTGAAATGTTGTGGTGGTTTGAAAACAACATAAAAGATTTCTTTCTTTCCCTGTATTCATTTGAACCTAGCAGCTGTCTGCTGGAGGTGCCGGTGCTGATGACAGGGCCTGTTTGTGTATGTCCTTAAAGCATGATCTGGCTTAACACCTTGGCTTTGATGCTGCCACCGTCAGTACTATGTCTGCTTCATAAACATTGCATTTTCTTGAAGGCATCATTGTAAAAAGCAATGATTTTTTTGCAGCTTTGTAAGATGGCAAATCTGTTCTTAACAGCTTCTTGGTAATTCATCAGCTGTCCAATTTACCTCTCACTTTTCCTTCTCATCTCTCTCGTCCAGAAAGCAACTGCATACTGAATGACTTCCAACTCGGACTCTTCTCTCTGATGTTATGGAGTTTGAGAAGGTGGGACAGAACAGTAATGGGAGAGCAGGAGGTGCGGAGATTGTGGCCTTCTCTCCCACTTCCTGCGCCTGCTTTCTCTCCCCTCTGGACTGTTTATAATACTTCGGGTGTTATTATAGCACCAAGGTCCTGAGTCAAAATAGCAGCACATCTTTGCAAAGTGTATCTGCAACCTTCATGGCTTTTCTTTGTGTGTCTAAGCATGCGTGTGTACATGTGCATGCGTGTACACATGTGGAGGAAAGAGGCTAATATCGGATGATTCCTTCTACTCCTCCCTGCCTTATTTTCTAGGACAGAGTGTCTCCCTCAATCTGGAACGTGGCAATTCAGCAGGACAAGCAAGCCTGTGAGTTCTAGGCACCATCTTTTTCTTGTTTTTCTTCAACACTGGCAGTGAAGGTGCACATTGCCATGCATGTTTTTTTTTTAAATATTTATTTATTCGTTATGTATACAATATTCTGTCTGTGTGTATGTCTGCAGGCCAGAAGAGGGCACCAGACCTCATTACAGGTGGTTGTGAGCCACCATGTGGTTGCCGGGAGTTGAACTCAGGACCCATGCATGGTTTTTTATGCGTGTTCTAGACATCTTAGTTGGGGTACTCATGTTGGCATGGCAAGCACTGTGCCCACAGAGTCATTACCCCAGCTCTGTTTCTTTCTTTTCTTTAATAAAACACCATCTTGCTTTGTACTTCATGGTGGCATTGATCTCAGAAACCTCCTGCTCTTGAACGTTGTAAGTATAGGTGCAAGCCACTTTACCTGATTTGAAATCTCCTTGTTAAATAGTGTGTGTGTGTGTGTGTGTGTGTGTATACATATGTGTGCAGAAGCGTGTGCTTCTATGTGCATGTGCCTGTGGAGGCCAGAAGAAAACATTCGAATGCACTTTCAATCCCTTAACACCTTCTTTTTGAGATCATGGTCTCATTGCTGAACCTGAAACTTACTGTTTGGCTAGACTTTCTGTTGGTCAGTGAGCTCCAGGATCTCTGTCTGTTCTTTCCCCCACTGCAGTGGGGTTACAGGTGCTTGTCACTACACCTGACTTTTTGCAGGCACGTTAGCGATCTGAA